TTCTGCTCTGCAAGCTCCAAACTTGGAACTGAGGACTTAAAGATACTCTGGGGATGATGTGCCACCACTGCTCTCAAGTAAACCAGAAACAGAGATCTTGAGAGCTGTTGCTAGGCTTGCCCTTGTAGCATTCTCATGCTCCATTTGGGATCTGGAAAATGCAGTTTAGGAGAAGGTAGGTGGCTGCTTATTTTTCAGCTGCAGCCTCAAGAGGAGCACAGCCAGCGTAGATATATGCCCTTAGCTGAGGAAGTCTAATAAGTCTCCAGCGAACACATGCCAAAGGCTTACAAATTAGCTAAAAATGAGCAGGTATAGTTTCAAGGACAGTGTAAGGCTCATTGGTAGTCCCAGAGCAAACCCTATGCCAAATTTCAAACACGGTCCTTGAAACATGAAGGAACCAGAGCTTCTCAAATAAATGGTTATACATTTTTAAAAATATGGGCAAAAGATTGCATTTTCCCCTAATCTCATTCCTGGAATTGGTTGATTCCTGCCCCCCACCCCCGATATTTAAAAAAAATAAATAAATCAGCCTTAGGAACACAACTGGTATGAAAACACTGAACCCCAAAATTTTACGTTTGGCAGAGTTATAAGAAACTGACAATGGGTTCTCATGAGAAGCACTGAACAACCTTAATTGCAATAGGTGATGTCAGTCTTACATATAATGATGATGATGATAATGTCTTCAGTCCTGAATTACAAATTTTACAGCAACTCAGAACTGCATCTGTGGGCCTTCTGAACTACAAAACTTACTTACTTGTTCATGGTTAAATAATTTACTTGACAAAGGCTGCACATATGTTGCTTTTCATTTTGTTTTAACTATTTTCTATGCAGGTGTACATTAAAATTAAGAGGCATAATTTTTAAAAGGATTTTAAGAGTTGTAAATCAAGCACTAAGTGGCAAGGTCTGGGAAAGAGCTAGAAATATGCCGTGTAACCTTGGACACATCCATACATGTGCTTTAATGCGCAGTAGCCTACTGTACTGTGAATTACAGCATCACAGCAAAAACTGTGCTAATAGTAAAATTAGGCTACTGAGCATTAAGCTCCACTGAAAAAGCATGTACTTTTGTTACTGCACATTAGGGCAGTCTAATATACATATACATTAGAGGTACTAAATTTAATTCACAGTAGCAAAAGCGCATTAATGAACATGTAGATGCACCCCTTTTTAAGCATCTCAAGTCTGTCTCTCTCCTTTTCCTCTGTTCCAAAAGAAAGATAGAATAACCTATTTCCCACTTTTGATATTGAAAATGTACAGTCTTTTTGAAAAGAAAGAATGATTCATTCAATATTCTGAGAAATTTTGCAATTTTCATGATAAGAAAGTAGGAATACAAAGTTGGGAAAACTACAAAATACCATAGGCTTAATTTAGCGAACCTTATTTTCCTCAGTAACACTTACTTACAGGACCCACTGAGCTAAATCTCTAAGACCTTCCTTGGTTTCTGTTGAAAACTTTTTCAAAACTTCAGCTGCCCTAAACAAAACTATGCCTGTAAACAAAGATTTGCAGGACTACAGTACAACACTGAAGAACTGCACAAATTGGGACTGCCCCCCTGAGTGGTTATGGGAATCTGTCCTTGATTGCAACAATAGGATGTAGTTAAACCCATGTTGCAACTTTAACCCCGATTCATTCATGGTTGACAGTATAGGGATTTAGCTCATTGTATCCTCACAGTAGCATAGGGAGGTAACAATTACAGCATAAAAACGGATGGACACTCCTAAAGTAACTCCCCTACCCTTTTAAAATGATTAAAAGCTACCTCTGTCTACAGCCCAGAGATTGCATTTCTTAATATTGTGTCATTTCTAAGTACTTCAGCTTCACAAAAGGAAATTTAGAAAATGTTTTTATTTTAAGCTATAACAAACAACAAGAGATTTCCTGATCAAAAAGGAACAGAAGATTTACAAAACTGTAAGAGAAGGAACGAAACTGAACCACAGAAATAACATGCAGCCACAGACAGCTGATAGGACATGCTGTTGGTCAGGGTACAGCTATTTGACATTCTACTGTATTCACAAAGCCATCAGTCAAACACATCTACACCAGAGAATTTCTCATTGAGAAGGGTGGTTACCTCAAGTAAGAGAACAAATTATGCCTCTGCCTACACACGATTTCTTCCCCCAAATTAAAAGCAATAAAAAAATGTTGAAAGTGTCATCCCAACCTAATGACAACATGGATAATTTGCATTTACAGTACATATAGGCTACCTATACACATGCGGGGGGTGGGGGGGAGTGGTTCTTAGAGAGCCGATCTCATTAAAACGCCGCATTGACAAATGTATTAAGCCCCTGCACATTCAAAAATGGCTGCAGGACATTTTAAATAAAGCTCATACAATGAGCTTTAGTTAAAATTGCCCAGTGGCCATTTTTAAACCCACAAGACTTATACATGTGACACAGTGGTGATGCTAGAGCATTCTAATTAGAATGTGGAGCAGACTCAATCAAGCCTGCTCCGACACGTTCTAATTAGAATGTGTCAGAGCACATGTATAGATGCCCATACCTAGCAGATACGCCAGAAACTACTGCCAGCTATTGATATGATTCACATTCCACAGCTGTGGTGTTTGGTCATTGGAATTGTGGTTAGATGGACTATAGAGTTGTATTGCAGAGCTATACATCTATTTACATACATCAGTTTATGGTTCTTTAACTGGAAGTGTTCCAAAACACCAACTATACTTATGTTAATACCAAATATTTACAGCACTGTCACTTTAAAAGTCTGGCAGACTCATGGCTTCCTAGGCACCACTTGCAGTCACCATTTTCTCCAGCAGTGTATATCCACACAGCCATTTTGAAGTTTTAAGTACGTCATTTGTGTTGGAAAAGCATGTTCAGCCTTCCCAAAAATGGACTTTTAATCTCAAGTAACGGCTATGGAGATCTGCTCTTTTCCTTAGCTGCAGACTGAAGGTGGAGGCTGCTTTTAACACAGGGATCAGCAGTGGTCTTTGTTTGAGTGCCATAAATGCAAAATCAATATTTTCTGAGACTTCTAAGATTTTTTTGGAATGTGAAAGGAACTTTTGCTGCTAATGTTCAAAGATGTTGTGGAACAGAAAGCCCCACGCTTTTTCTCCTTTTCCCCCCAAATTAATTTTATTTCTTTTTTGTTCTTTCACTCTGCTTTTGTTCGTCACATTTTGCCCCAGTTTCTTCCTTCCCAGCTTTTCTGTTTCCTTGAAAATTCCTTTCACATCCTTCCTCCCTGCTCTCCTCTCCTTTTCAATCTTCTTGTTCTACCTCACTGTTCAGGTCTCTATGCAAGTGGAACAGGAAAGTGAAATGCCCGAGACTGATGGTGAATACTTCCTCTACATTTTCCCATGGGCAAATTGTGAAGGGAAATCAAATAAAGTGACGGGGAGAGGAACAGAGGCTCCTCATTGTGCCAGTATAGTGACTTGGCCTACCACACTCTTCATAAGTGCATCATCCTTATTTTCAGGCATGGTATCTTCAGGCTCTAATCTGGAAAAAGCCTCATAGCCATAAGAAGCATATAAGAAATCCTTGTTTGGTGAAAGTAAAGATACATGTAATTTATAGAACATACAATTTAAGTACACTTTGAAGGAAAATCATCAAACCTGGAGTTTTAACAATGCTATCAGAACACATTTGTGATTCATTCTATTCTTATAGTACCATTGGGACACTGTTGTTTGTTGTGTTCATGGGCAGGATTCACAAAAGACACCCAAATGTATGTCTACACCAGGGTGCTCAACCTGTGGCCTGCAGGGCAGGCCAAATGCTCAACCTCCAGCCCGCAGACCCATTGCATCTGGCCGACAGGGTAGGGAAATTTGCATCTGGCCCATGTGTAGGAAAATTAGACAGTAGGGGGGCAGTGGCCATTAATAATGGCACCCTTACTTGCTGCCAAATTCCCATGCCCCCTCCCCACAGACAGCCAGATTGGGGCCAGGCCACAACCCCTTCCTCCTGCGCATTAGAACTAGGGCTGTGCCAGGCCCCCTTCTCCCTGCATGACTGGATCAGGGCCAAGCTGCTCCCCACCTCCCTCCTACAATGATCTAACCCCCAGATGGGGCAAGCACTAACCAGGATAAAGATTGGGTACCACTAGTCTACACTGACGATTTTCAATCAGTGTGCCATGGGTAGGTTGTGCAAACACCTACACACAATTCATAAAACAAACCCAGAGATTTCGAATAGGAAATCAATATTGTCAAAAATATTCTGCTCTGTTGTAGTCTTTTTGAGTTCTTTGCAACAGAACAACTGCCCCATTATTTTTCCATAGTCAACATGCAAATGAAAGCTTAGAGCCATTTTCTGAAGGGAGCCTTCAGCTTAGTGAAGAGTGCCTTGACTCCAAAAAGGTTGAGTATCACTGACACACCATGTTGAATGATAGTAGGGATTACTGTTGTAAACATGTACCTACTCATTCCATCCCACTCTGCATAAGCCAAAAAACACTTCATATAGCCACTTCTTGACATGATGCTCATGTTCATAGTCTTGGACATTCTCATACGAGGTGCTCCAAGATATCTTTTAGGCACACAACACACATGAAGCGGGAGAAAGTTGGCAGTGGGTATTTCCATAGCAGTGTTCCTTAGCATCAGCTGACTAGGCCTAAATAATGAAGGGCCAAAAGTCCCAATCCTGCCCTGTGGCTTTCCATGTGAATATTAATCTTGCTGCACAAGTGTACACTGCCTTCTAGATCAAAAAGTTATTTTCACCAGGTATTAACATGCCTGAAAAGCTTCCATTTGCTTATTTTTCCAAGCAGGAAAGCAATATTTTGTATTTCTGTTTATCGCTGAGTATATGTGTGCATCTCTGCAAATAGTCAGTTATGTGGTATATGAGTGACCATGTACAATACAAACTAAAAATGCTATCATAAAAAAAAAAATCAATACTTTGCAGAGTTCTTACCTTATTGCACTCGCAGATAAGTGGCCATAGGAACCACTAGCTGAAGAACTGCTACGAGAATTATTGAGAATTGTGACCAAGGAGTTTGGAGATGTTCGTATCATGGTCTGAAGGTCAAAACTATGATCAGACAAGGGCGATATGGACAGTGTACGCTTTCGGCTTGGTCTAGCTGACAGCCTTGGACTTGGAAACCTGGCGCCTGTTATGTAAACAAAAATAATTATCCACCACAGCACTCTACCCCATTTATTTATTATTACTGGCGATGGCTATAAAGAATCACAAAACACCAACATGATGTGACAAGCCCACTCTTTCCACTTGTGATCTACTGGCTACAATTGAGGAAAATTAGGAAGAAAAATTTATCTTCCTGTGGCTTACCTCAGGGGAGCTCTGTTTATTAATGTGCAAGCAAAATGATAAATTGCTAAACAAAAGGAAAAGACTTTTATGTGTTATCCTTCTCATTTCTGGTGATTTATGAATCTGATGGCTGCTTAGACATTCACATCATTAATTCAACCACAAGCGATGAGATAGTAGTTCAGATCTGAGCTACCAGCCAACCCAAACCCCTGCCACTTCAATTCAAAGAGTCAAAAATAGACTTCTAAAATACAAAATAGAGATTAAGATGCAGCTTTTCCTTTGCTAATCAGAAAGCCACATGGCCAAGGCTGGATGCAAAAATAAAAAGGAGCAGGATGCAAAAATAAAAAAGATGGCAAAAGTAATGTTAGCAACTTTTCTATCAACAAAAGTAATCAATTTGACATTCACAGCATTAGGCTATGAAACATTAGGATTTTATTTTAATTTTCCAAGCATTTAAGGATGTGCAGGGGGGGAGAAGGGGAAGAGATGCATCTACATCTATATAGGTCTCTATTTTTTTTTACCATAGGTTTAACTATGCAAAGCAGTATATGGGATTTAGTCCCACACCTTCCATTAAAAGGAATAGATAATGAATGATTAAGTTCTCTGTACAGCTTAACCATAAACTCTATCCCTTCCTTGATATGCAGCCACAACTCTGAAACTTGTGAACAGGAGGCACTTTAGCTTAATCTAAACATTGATTCATTTCCATCTCCATATAATTTTAACAAAAGGTCTAGAGATGAAGTATTTGCTTTAAGAATACCACCACCTCCATATTTTATTCTAATAACCTTAATCAGAAATAAGGGATTGTGTCATGGAAATGTCATGTCCACTGCTTTGCATTCTTTCAGTTCAAGTCCTATTTTTCTAAGTACTCTTGGGTAGCTTGAGGTTCCGTGCAAGTAGTCAACGACTAATACTAGGTCACAGATTTCTCTTCTGACTTTTTCCCTTTTATGTTTCTTCCCACCTGGTGCTAAATACTGTGGTTCACTGGACACTTAGACTTGTTTATGACATATGAGTGCTATTGACAGCAATGGGACTATTCATGGGCATTAAATTAAGAAAATTTTTGAGTACACAGATCCCAATTACTTTTTTTTTTTAATGAACAGCAGATATAGCAGAATTGTTCTTTTCCTGGATCCTCTGAAGTTCTTTGTCTACAAATCTTATACCTTCTGTGGATTCCCAATGATATTCATTTGAAGGTGCATAATCTAAAGTATCTCTTGACCATGACTGGTGGTTTTACTTACATGTGGCTTCAACTGCAAAGATATGTCAGTTCTACTTACCAACCACCTGCAGAACTCAACAACTGCAGCAAGTAAATCCCTGGTATTTACCATGATTCCCTCCTGACTCTACAATTCCCATGGCTTTCCTCCTAATTCTTCTACTTTTATTCTGTTTAAAGGGCAAAATGGCACTGAATAACGAGGCTTGCCTCAATTTTCATTGCTGCATTGTTTTCACTTGACTTTTTTCCTTTGGCATCTCTGTGGGACACCCCTCTTTCTGTGTATTCAGCCAAATATTATACCTCATATTTGAAGTTATCACTTCAAATTTTAAAGCATTTTTAAAGCTACAACAAGCTTGTTTATGTTATTTGTTTTATCTCTCTCTTTATGAACTTCCTACTGTACTGTGTGTCAATTGGCTACTTTAGTAAGTACAGTGCCCTGAAACTTTGAAAGGCTGATGTGAGAAATGGCAATAAAAAGTTGTTGTGTACTTAGTAAGCATATAAAAGATCCAAGATAAAGCAATAATTAAATAATAATATTCTGTACTCATAATAGAACTTTTAATCTACAGGCCAGATCTGCAGCTAATGTAAATTAGTACAGCTCAACTAAAGTCAGTGGAGCCATGTCAGTTTGCTTCAGCTGATCATCTCGCTCAAAGTGCTTTGGAAATGAGTAAATGCTATTACAGTACCTCCATTTTACTGAGGGGATATGAGAAACACATTTATTTTGGTCATACAACAAATGGGACAGGGAAAAGGACCCTGTGCATCATCCCAGAGATTCCACTAATGATCTACATTTAAGGGTTGCAATCCCAAATGGTGCTGAGGCCCTTAAAGGAATAGCCATGGGCAAGCATTATATTTGTGCTGGAAGAAAAGAGAAAAAAAGAGAGCATATAGCTATTCAAGGGCTTTCTCTTGCAAGAGAACTGGCTCTAGAAAAAAATAACTGAAAAACATAATTCAGTGGTTTTTGTTAAAGAATAAAGTGGTTATTAAAAACACTGTAACATGAACACTGCTGGAATACATCATAGAATCACAGAAAATGAAGGTTACGAGGGACTGAGCCGGTCATCTAATCCAACCCCCTGCTCAAAGCAGGACTGCCCCCAACTACATCATTCCAGCCAAACCTTTGTCTAGCCGGGTCTTAACCTCTAAGAATGGAGATGTCACAACCTCTCTGGGTAACCTGTTCCAATGCTTTACTACTCTCCTCATGAGAAAGTTTTTCCTAATAGCTAACCTAAATTTCCCTTGCTGCAACTTGAGACCATTTCTCCTTGTTCTGTCATCTGCCACTATTGAGAACAGTCTAGCTCTGTCCTCTTCAGAACCACCGTTCAGGTAGTTGAAGGCGGCTATTAAATCTCCCCTCAGTCTTCTCTTCTCCAGACTAAATAAGCCCAGTTTCCTCAGCTTCTCCTCTGAAGTCATGTGCCCCAGTCCCCGAACCATTTTTGTTGCCCTCTGCTGGACTTTTTCCAATTTGTCTACATTCTTTCTGTAGTGGGGGGTGGGGGAGTGAACTCAAAACTGGACACAGTACTCCAGATGTGGCTTTACCAGTGCCGAATAGAGAGAAAGAATCACTTCCCTCAATCTACTGGCAATGCTCCTACTAATGCAGCCCAGTATGCCATTAGCCTTCTTTGCAACAAGGGCACGTTGTTGGCTCATCTTCAGTTTCTTGTCCATTGTAATCCCCAGGTCCTTATACTGCAGTGCTATTGAATAGCTAGTTGGTACCCAACCTGTACCAGTGCATGGGTTTGTTCTGTCCTAAGTGCAGGGCTTGGCACTTGTTCTTATTGGACCTCATGAGATTTATTTTGGTTCAGTCCTCCAATTTACTGGGGCCTCTCTGAATCCTAACCCTACCATATCTACTACTCCAATAAAATATCTACTACTCCAAGCTTGGTGTCATCTGCAAACTTGCTAAGGGTGCACTCCGTCCCATCTTCCAAGTCACTGATGAAGACATTGAACAAAACCAGGCCAAGCTGTCCCCTGAGGCACTCCACCTGATACTGGCTGCCAACTAGACAGGAAGCCTAGATAGATCCAAGGCAGGCTCTTTGGACCTGATGATCAGGGATCCAGGTTTTCTGTTTCCCATGGAAAAATGGAGTAAGAAGCAGATTTTACCTTTTGCCAGAGGCAAATACAGATTAATTGTTTTACTGGAGAAACCCGCAGATTTTTCAGTTTTTCAATGAGCTTCCTGCAGGCTGGCAGAATTCCCACTTACCTGCAGGGAGCTGGGAGGGAGCAGGAGGCAGATGGTGAGACAGGGGGTGTCACGTACATCTATAATACACCTCTCCCCAGACAGTGAGAACAGCTCCCACAGGTAAGTGGGGAGGGTGGGGGGAAGAGAGGGATTGAGGTCCCTGTAGGGAGAGAGGAAGCTGGGTAGGT